AGTCTGACCAACACTAGAGGCCAACTTACAGCAAATTGCATCAAGTGTGGGATTTACCATGCTCTGTCCCCACTGCTATTCTACATATGCCTTCACCCTTAGTGAAAGCATTGACAAGACTGGCATGTGGATATTGATTATGGAATGGAGCAATCCTCAGCCACCTCCTCTACATGAAAAATAAATGATGGTCTAGCTCAGGGGTGTCAAACGTACGGCCAGCGGGCCAGATCAGGCCCGCAAGCGGGTTTAATCTGGCCCGTGAGATGATTTTGTAAAGTATAAAAATGAGCAGCAATTTTTCAATAAAGAAAGTGCTTTTCCAATTGTGTCCATTGGATGGCGCAATAGCAATTGTGAGCTACTTTGTTTTGCCTGTGAAATTTAAACCTGATGTGCTTTGGCACCCTCATTGCCCCAATATGTCTCTGTCAAAAAAGAGAAAAGTGGATGCAGAGTGCAGAGTGTTCCAAGAAAAATGGTCATCCTCCTATTTATTCACGGAAGTGAAAGCTGTAAGTTTGGTGTGTTCCCAGCATGTTGCAGTGCTGAAAGAATATAACCTCCGTCGCCACTATGTGAGTCTTCATGCCGACAAATATGACAACTTTCAAGGACAGCAGAGAAGAGTGAAGGTGAATGAACTGTTGGCGGGTCTGAAGAAACAGCAGCAGACATCAGTGACACTGCAGTGAAAGCTAGCTACCTCGTTGCTAACGAAATTGCACTAGCTTCCAAACCATTTAGTGAGGGTGAATTTGTAAAAACATGTATGATGAAGGCATCGGAGATTGTGTGCCCTGAAAAGCGCCAGGCCTTTGCAAATATCAGCCTGACAGGAAACACGGTTGCCGACAGGATTTCTGATCTTTCAGTGGATTTGGACAGACAGTTGAAGCAAAAAATAGTCATTTATTGTGTTTTCAGTTGCAATTGATGAAGGCACGGACATTACAGATGTTGCACAACTGGCAATTTTCATCCGCGGAGTTGATGACACATTGACCGTCACCGAGGAGTTCGTGGAGTTGGTACCGATAACAGATACAACGACCGCAGCTGATATTTTCACCCCACTCGTCGGCGCGCTGGACAGGGTCGGAGTGGACTGGTCCCGCGCTGTCAGCCTGGCTACAGATGGTGCGCCCTCAATGATTGGGAAGAAAGCAGGCGTTGTAAAAAAGTTCAGAGATAAAGTGCAATCTGCAAATGCAGGACATGATTTTTGGACTTTTCACTGTATTTTGCACCAGGAGGCTTTGTGTTGCAAGTCACTGAAAATGGATAACGTCATGAAGGTGGTCATCCAAACTGTTAATTTTATCCAGAAGCCTCAATCACCATCAGTTTGACAGTCTTCTCAGAGAGAAAGACCACATCTATGACCTGCCATACCACACTGAGGAAAGATGGTTGAGCCGAGGTGCTGTGCTGAGGCGTTTCTTTGATTTACGAGAAGAAATTGTTTTTTGCTCGCCGTTCACCGTGAATCCCTCTGATCTGCCCGTCCGGATCCAACTTGAAATAATAGACTTGCAGTGTGACTCGGATTTGAAGGGCAAATTTGCCGCAGCTGGCTTGAACACATTCTATCAGAATCTCTTGCCAGGTTACCCCAACTTGACAGCCCTCGCTGCAAAACTGTTGAGCATGTTCGGAACCACGTATCTTTGTAAGCAAGTTTTCTCTGTAATGAGCATAAATAAAACAAAACTGCGCTCAAGGCTCACGCACAGGCACTCGAATCACATCCTGAAGTTAGCTGCCGCTCAGGATATGAAGCCTGATATTGATGAGCTGGTGAAAGCTAAAAGATGCCAGGTATCAGGAGTCAAATAAACGATGCAACCCCACTGAAAGTGCTGCATGACACACCCTGATGTAGTTCTGTGATCTGTGAAACAGTTCTGTGAATCACTGAGGCACTGTGTGCTTGTGTGTTCTTTGTCCTCAGAATTTTCAAATAACTTGAGATGTTTTATGATTAATAGCTATGTTGTGCCTGTACTATTTTGAACATACCGTCCACAGGCTCTAGCTTTATTTTTATGTTGATCACATTAAAACAAAGAAAACAATCTGAAGTTGTTGTTTTTAAGTTATATATACAATGATTTTACCAGTCCGGCCCACTTGAGAATAGACTTTTCTCCATATGGCCCCTGAACTAAAATGAGTTTGACACCCCTGGTCTTGCTAAACACCAACCAGAATGAATGGCATTGTTGCTGCAGGATACTGTAATAATCAGGCTGGTTTAGTATGCATTGAAATTTGAATAAATCCCCACCAGTGTCACCAGTAAAATACCCCCACCCCATCACACCTCTTTCTCCATGCTTCAAGGTGGGAATCATGCAGGTAGAAACCATCCTTTTCTGCGTCACACAAAAACACACGGGGTGGAACCAAAGATCTCAAATTTGGACTCACTAAAGCACAGATTTCCACTGGTCTGATGTCCAGTCCTTGTGTTTCTGACCCAAACAAATCTCTTCTATAAAAGTCTTCCAGGTCCTGAGGCATAAAAACAGCCTCAGACCATCACACTACCACCACCTTGTTTTACTTGATGTATGATGTATGGTATGATGATCCTTTTCTGAAGTGCTATGTTACTTTTATGCCTTCCAAAAAGTTTAACTTTTGTCTCGTCAGGCCACAGACTATTTTCCCAAAATCTTGAGAATCATTATTTAAATTCCTTTCTTTTGAATTCTTTTGGCAACAGAGAAAGACTGGACTCAGAGTGGTCACAGCTCAACAAATTATCTTTATTTTACATTTTTGGAAATGGAGGCCTGAACACACGAACACACAAGCTCAGGTCTGAATTCTTTGCCAGCTAAATCCGTGTATGTATATTTTTGCACTACGTCACACCCACACACAGTTGCGATCAAAACAACTCCTTCAGTGTTACTAGTTCCGCTTTTCTGTCTGGTTTCCTGTGTTTCATTAATATGCCTCTGCACTAAGCTTCCCCTTTTTTTACTTCCCCTTACTGAAGTCTTGGTTGCCAGGGCAACCTGTTAACCTCTGACCTAGTTCTTTGTCACCTCTGGGCCTGGTTTATAAAGGCCTCTATTATTAAAATACATAAAACAATATAATCAGAAAATAAGCATTAAGAATACATATTTATTTCTTAACATCATCAAGATGTTTTCTGGAAAAACCGAGATGAGCCTTCATCTTCCTTTTGGTCAGCAGTATTGGAACTCGACCATGCAGGCTATTTTTCCCAGTCTCTTTCTTATGGTGGAGTCATGAACACCGACCTTAACTGAGGCAAGTGAGGCCCGGAGTTCTTTGGATGTTGATCTGGGGTCTTTTGTGACCTCTTGGATGAGTTATTTCTAGGTCTTGCGTTAATTTTGGTTGGCCGGCCAAGTCTGGAAAGGTACACCACTAGCTCTCACTGTGGTTTGCTGGAGTCCCACAGCTTTAGAAATGGCTTTGGCCTTTTTCAGACTGAGATCTCAGATTTACTTTGTTTGTCATTTGTTCCTGAATTTCCTTGGTTCGCAGCATGATGTTGCATGATGCTTTTAAGGATCTTTTGGTCTACTCTACTTAGTCAGCCAGATCGTATTTAAGTGATTTCTTGATTGGGAAAATGTGTGGTAATAATCAGGCCTGGGTGTGGCTAGAGAAATTGAACTCAGCTTTCAAAGGATGTGATACGTCACAATTAATTTATTTTAGAACAGGTGGCTGAACAGCCAATCGGTTGCATGCAGACTAATGACACCACATTTTAGCACCTGCTCAGATTGTTTTGGAATCCCAGCCGAGCTGGCACTATTTTATTACCTGGTACCAGGTACTATAACCTAATAGAAAACCCTGAAAACATGGCAAACTGCAGCAAGTAGGTACTAGTGGAAAAGGGGCTTACGTAACAAACAAAATGTCAGCAAGTTATCAAATAATTATTTTCCCACTGTATAGTTATATACTTTTTGAGTTTATTAAATAGAAATCTAATAAATAAATAAAAAACACTGATTGGTATGCGTTTATGGCTGATTACTGAAAATCACTGACTGATGCAATCTCATAAACTTACAATTACTATATTAAAAATACATAAGCGTAAGTGCTGGTTTGTGGAAGACTCCGTGTTGCCTCGCCATCTTGAATACATTCGCGAAGATGTGAATCACTGTTTGACCTAATCGCTTTTTCTCCAATGGAAGAAATTTTTAATTTGTGTCTAAACCTTTAAGAGTCTCAAGAAATGAAGGAGCATACCTGTGTTATCATCTAAGATGGAATCCCATTGTTAGCAGATTAGACATGCAATGCTTCTTTTTGCTATGTTTCCCAGTGTAACAATGTTAGATCTGCTTCAAAGAAGGTTTTGGTAACAACAGCTAGCAGGACTGATGAAGACACCCGTGCTTACCGACAGAAAAGTTAAGGATATCTTCAGCCTCATCCAAAGTAAATAGATGTGAACACATTGATAGCTGAGGTAAACAGCACACTGACAGCGTATACTTGGTACAGATGAGCAGTGAACACAGTTTTTGTCCTACAGCGTCTGCTTTAATTTGAATATACAAGGGGAATAAAACAGAATTCAGTTGACTGCAAAGTGCAATCTGATGACATCTGAGATTTTACACACTGCAACTTTAAACCAGCATGGCTTCTTCAATTCTACATAGAACCAAAGTCTATAGACTCCCCTAACATGGATGAGAGAAGCCAGCTGAATTCTCCTGCGTCCAATATACTGACTATGAGAAATAACTGCACTTACTGTCGAATTTATCCCAGATCTGTATATAAAGTTGCACCACAACAGAGAACACAATGTTTTGGCCAACGTATGTATTTCTTATCTAGTTTAAGGAATACACATGTATCACAAGTATTGTCATATTTTCAACTTCGTTTTTCTTTATATGCCTAGTGCAGCAAAATTATTTTGGTACATTATTAATATTGCTGTCTTCCCTTTTTTTCTTGTCTGTCCATTTCCTTCCCAGGACCAGTACCAGTTCCTATACAGGACTCTACTTAGGCCCATCAGTGTCAACGTGAATGGTTTGGGTCTTCTGGCCAGAGATTTTAATGAGACAATACTGACTGTGTCAGACCGGTCCGAGAGTATGGAGCTGTTGGTCTGAAACAGGCTCTTCAGAACAAGGAGCTCTGCTGAAGAGCCTGTCCCGTGGATCCAAAGCACCTGTGTTGTTCCTGAGCCCATAAAAGAAGCACTTATCTTTGAAAAACGTCAAGGAACTATCGTGGACAGGACTTTCCAATGCCTTTTTCGCCAGACTCTTGGTTAAAATTAATAACCTGATTACTTTTTTACACAGATATAAAGTTTTGATATTTATTTTTTTTCACCAATTTATGTCTTATGGTTCTCCTACTGAAGGGTTTACACCTGTTTTTAAGTTTCACAACAGTGTCAGTGGGCAGCGAGAAACACTTTTTGTCTTTTCTTGTTTGCACTATTCAGTGTAGTGTTACAGCCTACATATACTAAAGCAGACTCACTTGGATTTTCCTCAATCAGACTTTTTTTATGGAGACATTTCAGGGCTTTGACTTGTTAAGCCAACCGCTTCTGTGAAGGACATCACAAGTTTTCTGTCTCTATAACAAGATGTCTGACTTCTGCTCAGCATGACGTCCTACACCATGCTCACACATCATGTTACTATTCATTAATCACAAGATTAATGGGAAGAAGCTCATGGAAGGATGACCATGAACAAGTATTTATTTAAACTGATTTATTTATTGTTTCCATTGTTTTGTTGTTACACCATTATTCACATCCAAATTAGGATACCTATGTGGTGTAACTACTGCTACTGTGAACTTTTATGGTTAATTCTTTGTATAATTCATAATATGCTTTTTAATATATGGGAGTACCGTATGTATACATATATAAATATATCCTTATCATAATAACTTTGTGATTTTTGTACACGTCCTTTGTGGCCTCCTGAATCAGACTGATTTCCATCATGTCCTATAGATTACTATTCTGCTACTCACAGCTGATTCAGCCAAACGAAGGTGGACTTCTTTAGTCCTCTATATTCTTGTATGCTGCTATGTCATCTGCACTCTCTCTCTCTCTCTCTCTCTCTCTCTCACACACACACACACACACACACACACACACACACACACACACACACACACATGGAGAGAGAGATTCACACAAATATTGACCACAAACACATGATATTCCTTTGAAAAGGATTTTTGTTTTCATCCTGACAGCCAAGCATCAGTTAAGAACACAAACAGGTAGAGCTCACAAGCACCTGATGTACAGGGTGGGCCATTTATATGGCTGGTGATGGTTGGTGATATTAAAGTCCTGTTTGTGGCACATTAGTATATGTGAGTGGGCAAACTCCTCAAGATGGGTGGTGACCATGGTGACCATTTAGAAGTCGGCCATCTTGGATACAACTTTTGTTTTT